AAATCTTACTTTGATTTAAGGACTTGCAACAATTTGATATGTTCTCTCAGTATCTATTATGTTCTCTCAGTATCGTTTGTTCATGCTGTTCAGTTCTGTAAGAATTTATGACTGTGAATTCATTAATGTGTGCGAGGGTGTCTGGGTAAGCTTTGTGGGATTGTCTTTACTCAAGGATGTACTGGAGAGAGAGAGAGAGACAGAGTGAGACTAGTGAGAAAGAGAAAGAGGATTACTATAGGAGCTGTGTGCTTCATATGTTCTTTGTAATATTGTACAGCGCATTGAGCACTTCTTTGTGGAAATGTGCTATATAAATGCAATTTATTATTTATTATTATTATTAAAATCGACATTGCTTTATCTGTTACTGTTACACCTCTCAGTCCATTTTCATGATACAACAATTTTGTTCTAGACCAGTGGTATGGTCAACATGTCTGTCCAAGTTTTGGTGTTATATGTAATACAGTGGAGTCAGCTTAAGCGGAAACCTGCAGGACCGTCGGATTTTCTTTGGTTTAGCTGTGTTTTGGGCTTCAAAGAGATTGTTCAAATAAAAAGAAGAAAATCGAGGATTTTCTTTTCCTTGGATTTACTGCTGTTTTTTTCGGATTAACTGTGTTTGGTTTAAGTGGACTCCACTGTATGTAATGTAAGGTTCTCTTCTTGTTTCCAAGTTGTTTTTTGTCCTGGCGTTTGGATTCCTGTCAAGCTGTTGTGACTTTATGAATGCAATAAATTGATTTATTATAATGCCGAGTACATATGCCTCTTTTTGCTCTGTTTTCTCGTTCCAATGAAGGCTAGGTACTTTTTGGGCAAAGGTAAAACAGAGTTAACTCAACAAAGTACCTTGAAACATGTGTCATGCTCCTGTCGTATTATAAGAATGAGGCTCAATCTAATTGTTGTCGCGGGTGGTTGGCGGGTGCTCTGGTGTGGTTTGCTACTTTCCCATCAAACACCTGTCGTCCTTATCTCCCCTCCTTTTTTTTTGTGTACGTTACTCTCTTGTAACACGTAATCTATTCTTCGGCACTTAAATGACCTTATTGTGTTGCAAGTTCCATAAAACTCTTACTAAAACTAAAACTAGATCTAATTGTTGTCTTGGGCTGTCAGGTCGGTCTCAGCACTTTGCTCTCTGTTACTAAAGTGGGTGGTGAGAGGATGCCCAAGAGAAGGCCTACTGCCTGTCTGGTCTGCATCTTAGGACAGGATGGAGGTCCTCAAAACCTACGTCAATGATTTTTTTAAAAGCAGAGATTCAGAGCAGGAATTTTAACCTGAGCTGCTCAAACGGAAGTAGAATTTTTGTTTATGTGGGACAGCCGAAAGTGAACAAGCTATGAGGAGTATCATTCAGAGAAAGGAAGGAGGAGAGATAAGGACAATAGATGTTTGATGGGAAAGAAGGAGTACAAATCACAAACTGTTCAGTCAACGACTTGCAAGCATTTTGTGGCGCCAATATATTGACTCAAAGCAAATACGTTTTACAGAAAGCTCAGTGTATTAAGGACAAAACCAACAAAATATACACATGAAATGGTATTAAAAAGTGTTCACAATAGGCAAGAATCTCTTCATAATTAAAAGACAAGGTTCATCTCTTTAAAACAATGATGCCCATTCAGAACCAACCCTCAATGGATTTTGCAGTATTCTCCCAATTCAACCTCATACATTGTACATGATGCACTACGAGGAATAAAGAAAGGAACAGGAAAATGCTGAGAAAAACATGAACGAATCTTTTTTTAAATGTTTTAAGAAAAATTGGCACAAGTAGGCTACAGGTACAAGTTGTACACCTTACTCGTCAACACAATGGTAGGAAAAAAATCTGACACCAAAACTTTCTGGCACGTCTTCACAACAGTTTTTAACTCATCAAACAAACGCTTGTCGAGTCATTCTTGTCTCACAATCACACACACAACAACATACCATGTCAAACATTTACACCACACCCCTTAAGAAAAAACAAAAGTGTACAACAAACCCGCAAGAAGTCAACGTACAACAATCCACAATTTCCCCCTCACTCCACAAAACACGTTCCTCACTCTCATTATTAGCTACAGTCACCAGGTCGCTCAAAAATAGACTTCTTAACATGCACCATTGAGTAGCAGTCCATGCACATAACTATACCATTTTAGTGGTAATTTTATTAAAACACTGCACAGCAGTGGGGCTCACTCAGTGAGTCAGTAACTTAACCTGGAAGTCAGGAGTTTGATCCCCACCAGCATTGTTTTGTTTTTTTCTCATGCTTTCTACACCCCTGATCCAAGGGTAGGTAGGGTGGCGAGCCTCGTCTTCTTGATTAAGGGTGAAAAATTTTAGTGGTCCCATATAAAAGTTTTGCTTTTTAAAGATAACTTGGCAATTCTAAAATTGAAAGGAGTTGGCTCTTCCCACCACCATCCGGGTAAATTTCAAAATTAGTTCTTTCCCGAAAACTGAACCCACTCCAGTTAGTATAAATGAGTGCCTTACATTAGCCATGGATGTAAAGTTAACTGCACTATGAGGTGAAGATTCTTACAGTCAGTCACTCCCTGAGCTCTAGCGGGGGTATGAAAAGAAAGCCGCAAGTCATGACCCAGAGTCTGCACAACAAATGTCAGTTCATGCACTCAGGAGTTAAAGAAGGATGCTACAACTACAATAGCATTAAAATGACAAATACATTTCATTTTCACAGATGCCATTTTTCTGCTTGCGTAACCATCAGGACAGCAAAGCACAATCATAGTTCCTCATGGCAAACTATGCAATCTCTGCAAACTATGCACCCATCCCTTTTTGTCAAACCAAATTTCAATATCTATGAACTAAGCTTTAACATGTATTACCCCTATCTACATCCCTTCTCACACAATTCACATTCAAATTGGAATGTTTGAGGTTTTATAAACTCTAGAGAAGAAAAAAAAAGAATGAAAACAAAGCCAGATGACAATTTTCAGCCACACTCTAGAGTATTGTGCGTGCATTCAGACAGTAGACTAACGATACCGAAGTACAGTACATGATGTGAAAAAGCTGCTTTCATGGAAAGCGACAACAAACATTTTGAGAAGAAAAAGTAAAGTTCCTTCAGTGCCGTGTGAGTCACAAAGAGACAGAGTGTCCACAGTGTATAGTGGAACAAGTGGTACTCCGGGGGGCATAGTGTCTTTATAGGGGAACCATCAGGTATCTGTTGCAGCCTGGAATCAAACCCACAACCTTTTAACCAGAAGTCCAACACCCTTAATCTTAGCCATCTATGACAGAAGAAAGAGAAAACAACATTCAAAAGTGAGAAAAGTAATAAAACATTTAAGCGACCATGTTTCCTCCAGAAAATAACTTTATAGAGTTAATGTATGAAAATTTTACTCTAGGATGAAGCAGAGAGCTACAGAAAAGAACATAAAAGAGGCGGCAACTCTTTTCTTATCGTTTGTTCAGATGCTAGGCCTTGTGTAGTAGGCCTACATGTGTATTTCTAGTCATCAATAACATGTGCAGAGCTGCCAACCCTTCCAAACAGAAAAATAGGAAACATTTTCAACCTCAGACTCAGACAGATGCCTTTGGCTACACAATGAGGTTCGAGGGAGGCTGTAGCTGTTTACTTGATTGTTTTCCACGCTACTACTCAGTCTAAGAATAAAAGCAGATAGCAAAACATGGAACTGTTTTATCATCATAGCTGCACATTATAAAGATGATCTGATAATTAAAACGGGACATTTCCATTAAATTAGGGACAGTTGACAGTGTCCCATTTCCTCCCCCCTCCCATGAAAAAAAGACACTCTGATTATGCACGGCAAGTGGGAAAGAAAACTCAACGGGGTTTTTTTGCCCATTGAAAGCATGTTGTATGACATTTCATGACAGCAGTAGGCTACTGCAAGCTTTAAAAAAACGGAAAGAGGGAGGTCAGTCAGGAGAAATGATAAAGAGGCCCAAAATTCTTTCATGTTAACCATATCTGCTTGAACTGATCAGGGTAAGAGCAATTGTAATGCATTGGAAAAGAGGAAAAACTTAAAATTTTACAATCATTATTAACAAGAATTTCATGAAACAAAGTCTCCCGTATATATCATAATATATGATAAAAATGAACATCATATAACATTCCATGACTTGAAAACAATTGCACCCATGTCAACACATGAAAGTAACCCAAATTTCATGTGCTACAGCTAAAATATGATGCTGCATGACAGAGATTATACTGACATTCTGAACTGCCAGTAATTAAAATAAATCCTCAAGAAAACAAAATCCTCATTCAAGTACCCCTTTTTACAAATGATACATAAGGTGAGACAGTAGGTTGAATAGCAAGATGTTACTTATTTATTCATGACCTGCTGACCTGACAGAATCTTGTACCACATGATAAGACATTCAAACACGACACCAGGACATAAAGGCAATTAATTAATTTTTTTAAAATCAGCTGTGCACTGGCTTCTGTTGTATTTTACTTCTTAATAATAGTATGAATTTTAAAAACCTCAACATTTCTGGCATTTTTATCATGTGATACCACCATAGTCCTCACATCAATCACTTGAGCATACATGTTACATTGTCATAATGCTAATAGGCTATTTTGGTGTAAGTTGATTTCTGTACTTTTCATCCCATAAAAAAAAATGAAAACAGCTTTTCAGCACAAACCAAAGCTGTTACTTTTTATTAAAAACTAATATTTAGAGTATGAAATATCCTGCAGTATTTAAAGAATCCTTATACCACAAGCACTGGAAAACCCTTTTTTTCTGAGTATGGAGTAGACCAGTTTCACAGTGGCCGAGATCTGACTTAAACTAAAAAAAGTAAAACAATAGCACCATGACAATAAAAATGAGAGACCGACTATTCTTTCAGTGCACAAAACAATGTTTGTCCAAACTTACCAATCATACAAATTGACAACCACAATCTGTCAGGTGTACGGTGTACGCCAATGTACAAACCACAATCTGTCAGGTGTACGGTGTACGCCAATGTACAAACTAAGCAGTCTTCATTTTTACAAAGGGTTCTTCCTTTCACAATATCATGATACAACATGATTCTCTGCGGTAGGCGCTGAGTTTTCACCCAGCAGGAATACACATTGTGAAACAAATTTGTGAGGCACCACGGTAAATCAGGCATTCGACAAATTAAGGAAATCAAAGAAATCGATATTTTCCACTAGTTGAGCAGTTTTTATATAATTTTTTTAAATTTTGGGCTCACCACCTTTAATGTCCATTTACCAAAACATTCTTGCTTGGATTTTACAGAAAACTGTAGAGCAGAGGCACAAAAAATGTTAACATGCAGTTTCCTAGTAAACCAGCCTTGGAACTCACCAAATTTTGGCAGCCATTTAGTAGCCAAGTTTATCTCTGACATCAAGCTACCCCTCCTCTTTCAACCATAAATATATCTAAACTTCTATTTAAGATATATGGGTATTTTTAAAATAAAAAACAAGGCAAATGAACAGGCATGATGCCAATAACTCCATATATAGTTTTAAAAAATTGACGAGTGCCTGATTCCACCATGCCACAACACATTTTGTCTCACAGTACCAAACATTTTCAATAGAGCATAGCCAGTAAGACTTGGGATCATGAAACCCAAAGGTCATTGGAGGGCTAATGCATACAAAAGACCTTCATACATTGACGCAAGTCTGCACAAAGCAGGCCAGACTAAATTATATTATTGGAAATCCTTCCAAATCAGTTTAGTTTAGTATGGGGTTTTGCGGCGCTCGCAACTGCATAACTTCCAAATCAGTTTAGTTTAGTATGGGGTTTTGCGGCGCTCGCAACTGCATAACTTCCAAATCAGAAATCTCTTTCAAATGTATATATACATTCCCACCAAAAAAAAAATCCACCCACATACTGTCATGAGATCGGGTGTACAAACACCTGAAATTAAATTTATATAGTATATATATAGATATCTGAATTACCTTGTAAAGTGATGAAAATTTTGCACATCTTAATCCCCAAATATTTCTCTAATACTCTTGAAATCCACCTTCATGGTACATTTGTCACTGTTCATTGGTGTATTGGGACTGTCACTGAGAGCAAAGACAGTAAAGTAAAAGTCATATTACTAGTGAGTGTTAAAAAATGCAATGCCACAATACAGTTTCCATCAAAAAATACACTTGGCCTCAGTTGAGGAACACAAAAAAACCCCAATCCATCTCTGAGACCAAAGTGATGCCACTTTGTCCATCCATGTACAGCTGTAAGGTTGAGCATAACAGACAAGATGAAGATGCCTGTGTTGTTTCAATTCATCTTCATTGCTAATCCCCACAAAGTGGGAGTGAAAGAAAAAGACCCAAATATGTGCTCTCATGTCATGTGCCCCCCCCCCCCCCCTCCCTTTGAGGCCTCAAGCAGTCTGTGATTCTGTGATTTCACAACCTGGCTTCCGTCTCCCAACACTAACCCTGACAAAACAACAAAGAGCATCGCCACGGCAACAATGCAGCACTCAGATCGAGGGTTTTTCCGAGGGATCTTGACTGAAGGCCTCATAAACGTTGGCTGCCAGCTGTTTGAGCTCTTCCATCAAGAGTAGTTCCTGAACACACACAGGGAAGAAAAAAACCATAGAGTAAAAAAGGAAAAATAAGGACGACAGAGGTTTGAGAGTAAAGAAACAGCAAACTACAACAGAGCACCCACCACCCACCCATTTGGTTATCAGAAACAGACCTATTATGCCAATACAAAACACAACATGGGATGACATGAGGATAATAGCAATCTTTGTTGGTCAGTGAGAGAATTCCATTCATCATATCTAGATTTAAAGCAAAATTCTTCATCTTTAAAGTGATCTGTTTTGTGTTTGGTAGGGTCTCCAACTCGTACAAAAAAACAATTGACAAGAACAAAAGAAGAACAAAAGAAGAACAAAAGAAAGACGACTATATCATGCTCATAAACTAGGGGGCTAACTCAGACGTCTTGCCAATATTGTCATCAATGTAGATAATAGAGATTGTTGAACTTGATATTACTAAGAAGAACCTTATGGTCAAACTAAAATTATGAATAAGTCATCTAAATACAACACAAAATATGGTACAGGATTTTCACATCAGTTCATGTAACTTCTATGAATAATGTAGTACAACCAAATTATACAACAGCAATGTCTAACATATTTGAGAAAGCAAAGGGAGACTGTACAGAATAACAACAATAAAACAGCTACTTGCAACTCAACAAGCCTCTCTGCGGGCAGAAGTTGTAGACAAATTGCAACAACTAAAATGATTTGGAAAACATTTTAAACTCATCATCCATCCTCCACGCCCCCATCACCATCTTCTTATAACTTACTACAACCTCCACCCTCCCCCTTTCTAAAACACCCCTTTCTCATTCCTTATTTTTCATCCTTAACAACACCACAGCAAACTGTTTCTAAATCATGCCCAATGGTATGAAAATTGCTTGTCTTTACATAGTACAATCTTTTATCCTTTTATCTCTCTGCTGCCACAAATGTCCCCACTTGAAGTGAAAAGGTGCCATATGAAATAAAAGAAATTTAGCATGTTCTGGACATGCCTTTTCCTGGAACAAAGGTGACAGGTTTGCAGAACATGCTCTTAGGGTTCAATTCCTGTGCCACATGAGCCTTCTAGTGAATAGGAAATATTAATGCTATGCATATAAGCTATGAGTTTCAAGAGCTCTAACCTCAGCATTAACAGCAAACTGAGCGCTGCACTGGTAAAAAAACTTTCAGTCCTGTTTCACCACTGTTTGTAGAGAAATGATTGAGCTCTTTGCTCATGAACACAAAGACATGAGTTCAATTCGCCTTCTGATGGAACATAGTCACAATCAAAGCAGACCCCCCTTTTAAATTATCCAAATTATCAGTGGGGGGAGGGGGGGGGGGTGTAAAACATTTACAATTCTTTAATTCTGGCATCTTTTGAGCACCCATTACAACAAAAATAAATTTTCCCCATCCAAGGTTATTTTCAGACATATATGTGAGGCAGTGTGGTGGAATCAGGCTCTCGTCAATTTTTGGGCTGTCATCTTAAAGCTTGTTCACTTGTCTTTATTTCAATGAAAAAAATATCCTTTTATCTTGAATACAAATCGAGATATTTGCCAATGAAGGAGGTGGGATCACCTGTTTTCAGAGATAAAATTAGTGAGAAAATGGCCACCAAAGATTAGTTATTTTCTTAGCTTCAGAGTCCATGGTAACTGAAAATTTACATTTTTTGTGCCTTTAATCAACGTTTTTAAGAAAAATCCACACAGAAATGAGTTCTTTAATGGGCATGAAAGGTGTTGAGTTGAGCCAAAAAACAAATATTTAATAAAAACTCACAATTCTGCGGAAAAGTGCAAGTTTCTTCACTTTGATTATTTAGATGAGAGCCTGATTCCACCACGCTGCCTCACATATATGTAATGTATTGATCAGCACAAAAAATCATAGAGCAGCAGGACTGTTTGAGACTGCCCACCTGTATAAAAGGGTTGGGAGCGTCCCCGCAGATGCTGTACATCAGAGAGTTGATCACAGGCACTAGCTTGGCCAGAGCTATGGAAATCTCATGAATCCTGCGGAGAGAAGTAAATACCGATCAATGCCATGATAATGTAAAATCTATAAAATTCAACCATTGTGGACCATACTTCATTGTTGTTTACAGAAGCCAGGGAATGCATGAAAAATACTCAGTTTAACACAATTGAATAACATAACTGCCACAACAGCTATGGAGAAAAAAAGAGAGCCATATGAAATAAAAGGAACATTTTAATATGGGACAAAAAACTCAATTTCACAAGAGAAAGGAATCATAAGAAAATAATATCTTCGAAGAAGCTTTTTTTCATATTTGTGGTAGTGAGCGAAGCTTTTCACCTATGGTCATGTCCAGGACTCAAGGTAGAAAACATAAGTGTGCTACAACATATCATCATTGTCCTCTTATAACTAGAAATTCTTTCAAATGTTCGGTTAAGGGGGGGTGGTTAGACCCCGAAAGTCCCGATTCGGCTCAGAACTATGGATTTTAAGTTGTAGGCATTTTTATCCTCTTCAGCTTCTCTTACAACTATTTCATTGCACAAGAACCCCCTGAAGCCTTATTTCTTCCCATACCGGACATGTTTTTCACCACCATTTCCTCATAAAGTCAATCTTTCATTTTTCTTTATCGCCCGTTTTCTCTAAATGTAGGTACCAGAAACTAAATTTTCAAAGGAGCAGTATGCCAAATTTATCTGTTCCATTTGAAAGGCCTATATGTCCACCTAGCATTTTGGTACCATTCTTTAACCTCTCAGTCAATTTTTTTAGAAAATTGTAGTTATTTAAAATTTGATCAAATTTGTTAAAGTGTTAAAGTCGCTCACTGGCTGCAACCCCATGTTTGGCAGATAAAAAAAGAGTACCAAGTGCACTAAACATCTCCACATTTACAGAGTACAATCACTATAACATATATATGGAGCTCAGTTTTTTTCAAGACTGTGAGATCATTGTAAATCAGTATTTTATCGCCTCAAACACGATGATCTGTCGTTATTTCGACAAAAACACTGAGCGTTGACACGGCCGGCGCCACACCCGCACCCGCGGCAAGCGAGTCGGCTCTATACTGTAGTGTACCCTGTGTGGGGGGGTCACATGCTTTCCGAGTTTTGCGGAAGGATTGATGCGAAATAATTCCAAGCTAATTACTTTACTCTAATAGGAAATAAACTGATCTTTTAATTGATACCTTTTTTGGACCCGTATTTTACATATTTCATGTAAAAATTATCTTTGAAAATTTTTACTGTATTTTAAAGGCTTTCTATTTAAACGGCAAAGGCCAAAAATATACCATGTGAAAGCCCGTTTAAAGCCCTACAGTTCTCCACCAATGAAAAGACGGTATTCAATCATCCCTCTTTCCGCGACGCATTTGAATGCTTGCGTGTCACTTTTTGAACCGGCCAACCATGCATTCCGACCGTAAGGGCTTCACTTTCCTCGGGATTTTCCAGCTCCTAATAATCGGACACATAAATAACGTACACCATTGTAACGAGGAAAAGCTGAACTTTTACAAGGTGTATGGCATTTGGTGTTTTAAAGCGAAATAGCAATGAAACAGTGATCGGAATTACCCCGATTTCACGCCGTCGGAAGGCCGCGAGTGCCTGCGAGGCCGTGTTTACGCTACCTACTAAATGTGGTTTTTCTATATACTTTTTAATAACTCATTTTAGATCCAATCTTAATGAAATTTTTACAGAATGAAGAAAATATGTAATACTAAAAATTGGTACGATTAATTTTTGATGTACGGAATAGTTTTTTGTTGGTGGTGTTTGGAGTGTGGATTTTCACGGATTTTTGGCAAACGTGAAATCTACCTCTGGAAAAAAATTCATTAACTCTTTTTATCCGGGCTACGAGTATACTCGTAACGAGGACCAGTCCGGGATACGAGTATTCTCGGAACAGCGATACGGTCTCGTCAAAGAAGCTAGTTCTGCTTGTCATTACCAAAATACGCAAACACGGCGATGCTAGCTCTGTCTGAATATTTTAATTTTCCAATGAACAGTGGTTTCTTTGTTTTTGATGGGAGTAGAAGCTTGAAAGATATCTCGAAAACGCACATTCACGACCGACGAAATACTTTTTGAAGTTGCGCTGGGTTGTGAGGGGGTATGATACTAATTTGATCATAGTGACTCTGAAATAAGTGCCGTAAATTCCGTTGTGGATGATAAGAAACATGACTTACACTCATCTAATAGCGATTTAGATCATGGTGAAGGGGTCAGTACTGGAATTCGTGTTCGATGGGTAGGGCTAGATCTAGATCTATAAAATCCAATGGGACGTCGTGGGCGCCGCAATCAGGGTGAAGTTCGAGGGTTGAATATACCTCAAAATCTACATTGTGCTATTGGTATATTTCCTAACTACATACATTTACAAAAACTACATTCAATTTCTAACATAACTGCCAAATTTCCTTAAAACCTTAGAGGAAAAGTAAGAAATATAGCACTTTGAACTATACACACTGACTTCCGACTCATACGGCGCGGCGGCCCCAGGACGGGTACAGAGTCCGTGGGGGTACGGCTAGGATAAAAAGAGTTTAAAATTTCTTAGTGTGTTTAGCTGATTAGCAGATCAATTGTTTGCCAAGACGCATGCAAAAAAATCCAATATGTTTCCATGAAAAATAAGTGTGGTATTAATTACGTAGGACAAGTCAACAAATTCAAATATGGCCGCCGTATCTATGGAAATGAATTTTTAATCTCAAATCTGATTGCGGATTTTAAGACTCCTTACTATGCTTGTTATATGTGTGAAATTTGGTAACATTTGACCTACTAATAAACGAGATAGTCTTCAGATGCTGCTGCCCCCCCCCCCCCCCCCCCCCCCCTCTTAACCAAAGTGGTCACTTTAGAGAATGTCAAAGACTTGCTTGTATAGAAATGAAATAGAATTACACAAAAAAATCTGTATTGAATACAAATGGCATAAAGGAACGTAATACAAGAGATATAACAAAGTCGTACCCAGAAGGATGTTCAGTTGAAGCTGACTGTTGCTTGTAGTGGTCAGCAACACCATCAAGAATGCAGTGATAGCCGCGGTCGATGCTGCCCTTGAGCACAGTGTGGAAGTCATTACTGAGGAAAAACGTTGATGGTGGACATCGTTAAGTAAGGTACAAAGCACCACAGCCAGCCCAGAAAATGGGTGAGAATATTTACCCTAGCTCTGGCAGGTCAAATATGACATTCATGCTAAGCTGTTCTTCCTACAAAACGCTTCACCACTGTACTTCAAAGAAACTACAAAATTCACCCCTAAAAAATGTCATCTGCAAAATATTCTTGGCGTAATGGTAACGGTCAATCCAAGAGCCATAAACATATATCCAGACTACAAGAACTGCATTGTGTGGTCTTCCCACTACAAATGCAACATTTAAGACTGCCTCCTCATTGGCTACGGGAGTCGGGATCACCTTTTTAAACTTTCTTGGACAATACCTGATTAATTTCTGCTGCAGTTCTCCTAGATACATCTGTATGCCATTCCAAAGAATGGACTGATATTAAACAACTTGATATTATAACTGTCCCATACATAGAAGATAAGCCCATTAACACTAAAACACTCTTCTGATGCTGAAAAAAAAAAGACATAAAAAAAGACACAACGCATGGGTAGATAGTAAAGAGGTAGACTTTGTGAAGATCACATAATATTTACAACAGTAAAACAACAGACAAGTATAACACATAAAACAATAAGAAGGAAAAGATCCTGAGAAAATATTACTAACCTGAAACAAAGAAAGGAGAGAGGAGTACTCGCTCCTGGGACCAACACAAAAAAATGTTCAAGCCGACCACCCTTGTACAGGCCGGGCCTTAAGCCTCGCCTCACATGGTCATCCACGACACAGGCTTTCTGTGTTCATTTAGGATGGCGCCACTTCTCTCTCTCTCCCTCCCCCCTCTCTCTCTCTCTAACACGCGCACACACACACACACACACACACATGTGTTTGGTATCGAACCTCAGTAGAATTTGATGGTGATGAAGAATCCGTAAAGTTTTTATCATTTTTTACTCTTCTTTTTAATCTTCAAGTACTCCGGCCTCAGGCCTGTGCAAAAAATATCTGCCAGCGACAGATATTTGGAAGCCGCCTTGAGGCCGGAGATTCCTCCAAATGTTGGCTTGAACGTGGCCTGTGCAAGGCCTGTGTAGGCCATGTTCAGGCCAGGTTCAGGCCTGCTCTGGCTTGTTCAGGCCTCATTCAGGCCCAGCATCAAGGCCCGGCCTGTACGTGGCTTGCCGGCTTTACAGTAGCAGCAAAGACAGAGGAGGACTACCTCTCGAGAATGTCCCTTGTTTCTGCAATCAGCTTCTCCAGCAGCTCATCTTCAGAGTTTTGCACCGTCTGGAAATCAGGAAACCAAGTCTCAGGGAAGGCAAAACACACCCCCCAACTCCTACAGGTTTAAGTCTAAAGAAAGGTACATCAATCCCCCCCCCCCCCCTCCCCTTTCCTCCAGGTCTGTGGCAGGGGAGGGGAGGGCAACTCTTTCCCCCCTGCTTCCTCCAGGTCTGAGATAAAGTAGACCCTCCCTCCCCTAAACCTCCCTGCCACACCCTCAGTACTCTGCCATACATGATATGAATAAACAAGGAAAGTGGATAACATAATCAAGGCTCAGTGAATTAACTTGCAGGATATAGTGTAATTACTTGAGCCTGCTACTGATGAGAAATGAGGTTACGAAATAACACTGTAAGTCTAATTAATGAGACCACATCACTCACAGTTTTGGCAATGTCAGGCACTTGCTCACTGGTCAGCAGGTATGGGTACAACGACTGCGTGGGTTTGTCCACACCACATTCCACGCGCTCACGGATGTGATCGAACACGGAGGTCAGCTGATCCAGAGACATCAACTCTTTCAAGGGTAGCCTGGAACAAGCATCAAACAATCACACTTGGGGAACAAATCTCCCTTTCTCAAGACAATACATGAGATGATGTAAGAAAATGACACAGAAAGGGTTATGCCCACTGGAAAAGTATATAACCATTGCTCTGAAGCAGTCGCTACAGTCAATCCAAAGCCAGGAACAAGTTCTTGGACATTCAACATTTCTTTTTGTTTTCTTTCTTGTTTGTTTGTTGTTGTTTTTGTTGTGTTTTTTTTTTGTGTTTTTTTGGGGGGGGTGATCAGTAGAAAGTTCTATAAAAATATCCACTGGACTTTACTGATTTCTTCTTGTGATTTTTGTCCTATAGCCAAAGTCCTCATATTATATTTTTTGCCTCTTAATTTGTTTTATCCTACATAGAAAGTACTTTCTTCAGTGACAACCCCTCATTTCTCCCCCCACCACCATATTTTTTTTAAATAAACAAGAAATTGCAGGGGGAAAGTCCATCCCTGTTAGAATAAATCTTCCAGCCAAGGGAGTCATTAAGAGATTGTTTATTGAGCTTGCAATCAAAAGGAATACAAGATTAACTATCACTCATACGGTACTTTAACTTTGAAAAATGTGAGCACAGAAAACCAAACATTATCTGAATAATAGGACAGATTTGTTAAAAAAACAAAAAACAAAAACCTGCAAGTGAAACAGTATACTTACGATCCAATCTCTTTCATCACAGCAAGGCGTAGATAATTGATGAAATCAAGGAAACCTGTCACAAGACAAGGCATAATCCATAAACATTACAACCCTAGTGAGATGAGGAAGCTTGTTGCATACCAGTAGAGCAGCAAACTCTAATAATTTGTAAAGTAAGACAAACAAGATATTGCCGATTTACCATCTTCAAATCTGAAAAAGATGACCAGGAAAAGCAAACAAGGGCAAAAAATATTAATCACATTCAAACACTTTAAAGGAGTCCAAACACACAGTGAAAGCAATCTTCTAAACAAAAGACTGCACATAGAGAAAGGAAATCACTTGAATCTGGTAACACATGCCTGAAGGCTTCTAGTCACTCTTTTCTGACTTTAAAGTTAAGATACAGGGGTGATCCAAGATAAACTGTACAACTTTTAAAAAAAATATTTTCCTCCACACTGAAGTTTTGCGTTACAAATTTGTACACAAAGTAAACATACAATGTAAGAGATCAAGGGGAAGGCCACTGGTACCTGGAGAAGAATACAGTGGAAAGACATGTAATAATGACAAGAATCTAAGCCAGGATATTTTTATGGAAAAAAGGAACAGGAAAGTATTTGTCCACAGTCTATACCCTTATCAAAGAGTCAGAAAAGCAATGACAATTAAACAGAATTTTTTTTTTAAGTAACACATACAAAAGCATGTGTCATACAGACCAATTATATAAAACTATACTTTGTATAAAAAGTTTTAAATGCATAAAAAAGCAAATTGTAAAACAGGCCTATTACATTAAAACAGTACCTTGTTCAATAAACTGTTTGACAAGAGACAGGTAACGCTCTTGTACCCGCTGAGGGATCTGGGCACTGTGACCAGACTCCACCTTCTGAGGACAGGGTCAGCGGAAAACTGGAGTTATCTCAAGCAAAACATTTGAACTGAATTTGACATGCTTAAAAATTAAAATGAAAGATCTCTCATTCTTTCTCACTCTTTATCATTCACTATCCTTTCTTTTTCTTTCTTACACTACTTCTTCCCTCACTGATTTTCTTTCTTTCTCTCTTTCTGTCTATTTTTCACACAATGTAAAGACAAAAATAAATACATTCAAACTTGCACTCACACAAAACAAATACAGATTACACCAACAAACAAAAACACGTACATCTGAGGGAATACACAACTCTCAGCCATTCTCAATAAAGGCACAAAGCACTAGTGTATTTCACATGCTGCAGGTTGTGCTGTATTTTGCAACACATTGTTAATGTCTATCTAATCAGACAATTTGTCAATGTCGGTGGCCTAGTAGTTAGGCTCTCGGACTCGCAACCGTAAGTTTGTGGGTTCAAATCCCGTCAGGGGCCCAACGTTGTGTCCTTGGGAAAGGCACTTTGCACAAATTTTCCTCACTTCACCCGGCTATAGACAGTGAACGATCTTGTCAGTTTGATAGTGTTTGAGCACGTGAAATCCGCAGCTTGCACTGTATGCTTCTGTGGAAGCCGAGAATGTTTCAGAGTGTTCTCAGAGGGTCTGCTGGGGTAATAATGGTTGTAAAGCGCATAGAGCATGCTCTTGAGCATGGATATGCGCTATATAAATGCAATTATTATTATTATTATTATTATTATTTCTAAAAATGATTCTAATTGTGCTATAGTATAAGTTATGCACCATTTCCATTCTTCTTTATTCTTTTTGCTTGGGCATTACAAAATACAACTAGAGAATACATCATTTCGAGCAAGGGCATTCAACCTTTACCACAAAACAGGAAAGTTTTAAAAAATTAAATTTGGTTCAAACGTTAAAGTCTGTAAACTGCATAAGTTCATCAGCTATAGAACAGATGCCAGCTCAAGGAAATTTGCAAAATCTCAGGCTGACCAATTCCCTCAACAACCAAAAAAACTTGTTCTTCATGCAGTCAGCAGAGTCTCGAGTCAATAATTTTAAGCTGTTCTACACAGATCTACACTGGCAACCTTTAGTTTTAGTTTTGAAAAGAGTTTTACAGCACTTGCAAAACAAACAGGACAAATAAGTGCTGAAGATTAGAAGTGTTACATCTTTGATACAAAAAAAAGGAGCAAACCACAGAGCGCCTGATGACTACCCATACACTGGCAACATCTTAGGACTTTCAACTCAATTTGATCAGAGACAGAGAACAACCAAACGACAGATAAAAGATCTAAGGAGAAAGAAAATCTTTTTTTTCTTAACAAGAACTGAAGTTGACCTCCATGGATAAGTTTTAGTAGTGTTTTACAAGTATTTGCAACACAATAAGGTCATATAAGTTCTGAAGATTAGAGACATTACAGGAGAGTAACAAACACAAAAAAGGAGGAGGAGAGATGAGGACTATAGATGTTTGGTAGGAAAGAAGAAGAAGACCACACCAGAGCACTCATCAATCATCTGCTATCTACGGGTCAGCAGACAAAAACTTTCAAAGGAAATCGAATAAATCAGAATATCTAAACTCACACACAAAAGAAGAAATGTGCACATACTGCACTTGACACCTTTCTCCAGGGAGCTGACATCACTCTACTTACATGTCCATTGGTTGGGTGGACGCTGTCCAGGTAGAGATAGCCCCCGACCACATTGAGTTGAACTCGGAGCATCACTGACAGGATACATGTGCCATACACCGACGCAAGTGTACGTGTAACACCTGAAGAGGGTGGAAAACGGCAAGATGATTTCACATTAACTTCATAAACAGTCCTTTCAAATTTGCCACCCAGGCAAAATGTATTTACAGGTCGTTCATTTCGCAAACTGAACATTTTTCTCCTCACCACAACTAACCTGAAAGCAATTGGATAAGAAGCTGTGAGAATACTTTCACATAAAAAAATACTTACGTCTTTGTGTAAACTAAACCCACATACTTATACATTCTCTCTTTCTCTCTTATTCTTTCTCTCTCTCTCTCTCTCTCTCTCTCTCTCTCTCTCTCACACACACACACACACACACACACACACACACACACACACATACACACACGCACACACACACACACACTTTCTCACACATACATACACATAGCATCTAAAAATCAAAAACCACTTTCTGGTTCTCCCCCTTCTACGTCTTAGCTCCTCCAGCAGCTGACTGTTGCTTCTCTGACCTTCCGGTAATAAAACACTTTGTCTCTTGCCATTCTGCCGGCCTGATTTATTCTGATTCCAAGCCAGATTTCTTTGTTCTGTTCCCATCATCTCTTTTCATTTTATAATATGGCCTATATTTTGAAAAACGCAAGTGGGGAAGGGGGAAGTGATCGTCTGGGGAGGTATTTGTTTAGGAAAGATGACTTATAAAGCAGACTTCACTGTTGTTCTTTCCTATAACCCTCAAGTCCTCCAATATACATAGTACTTCCCCACTGGTTGGGTGGACACTGTCCAGGCAGAGATAGCCCCCCACCATTTTGAGTTGAAGCCGGAGCATCACAGACAGAATGCGTGGGTTCGAGTAACGAGAAGCATTATAATATATTGACATGATAACAGTCATTTTGTGCAAAGACAGAGCAAGATACAGACACAAAAACGAAGAGAGAAAGAAAAGAAGAAGTGTTGTCCTCCAACCACCTTATTTCTTTTCCATAACCAGATCTGCCAACCACTTTATAACTAAACATAACTTAACTCTACCACCACAGATAAACCTGTATTGCAAAGAAACTCAAATAAAAACAAGCATTTTCATGGTATTTACTCTAAGTTGCGCAAATGTAGCAAAATAAATTTATCATACGTCACATAACGGTCAAACCGAAAGAAAATTCAAGGGAAAAAAATCTAATTCTATACACATTTGATCTGGGTTCTTCAACAGGCAAAAAAAAATCGGAGAGCTCCAGTTCTATCAGAGTACTAGGCAGGCATGCATAAATCTGTCCATATATACTGAGCTTGCTTGCTCCTAAACCTATTCACAAGAAACTTAGGTTGCCAGAATGGAAACAATATTCAATGGAATGTGTTCTGGTGAACCCTTAATAAGACAACTGTCAACAGTGGCCAGTTTTTAACCTCTTTAGTCAAGTGACCGCCAAAGACATTCTTGACGATTATCAACTTTAAGAATAGAACTTTATTGTAACATATTTTTTACTCTATGCTAATAACATTGAATCGTATAAAAACTCTGAAGTCCCAATTCACTATCACAAAATCAATATATGAGATACATTTCAATTAAGTGGTTTTCATGTACAGGACACTGAAGGACAGACATTTCCGAGTCTGAATATCATCTTACATGCTGGCAAGTGATACCCTGTGTCACAGGTGGCTGATGAAGGGGATGGGACGAAAGCGTAGGAAGCAGTTGAATACATGTGAACATACAAATATTGCTGTACCGGGTAAACACACATTGTCTGACCGCATTAATATGGCACCAGCAATTTACCATGACAAAAGGATTTTTAAAATAATACACGTCACCCCCCCCCCCCCCCCCACCAACTCCTCAGCAGGTAATCACAACTGCACACATATACTACACTATAGCAACAAAAGCATAAATTTCTTGCCCACAGACACTCTTGATACTCCCGCTTCCCAACATAACAAAAACTAGAAGTCTTCTGAACAATCAAGATGAACATTCAATAATCCTACAACATGCATATATCTACCACCATGCCTAGCAGAACCATCAGCTCTCTCCCTAACATGACAAGAAATCTTCAAATGTAGGTCAGAACAACAACATTAAAAAATTGGTCCAAATCAAGATCAGATACCCAATATTCTTTTAAATCAATTTGGTTAAAAAAATCAAATACAAGTTTTTTTACCGTTTCCCAATAGAAAGATGGAAATACTTGACAAATTCGTCCCCGCTTGAGAATCGAGAGCCCAGGTTTTTTGTGCGTAAGACAAAGAGCTCAATCACAGGGACCAGTACAGTCAGAAACTGAGGCCTTGTCCATAATGACTTTGAACAACACATGGAAGGTGAATGATTAATCTGAGTGCTGTCAATTTTTTTTTTCTGAATTAATCTCAGCCCAAATAGAACTCCCCTCCTCAGCATGTTCTTTTCTTTAGTTTTAGTAAGTGTTTTACGGCACTTGCAGCACAATAAGGTCATATAAGTGGTGAAGATTAGAGGTGTTACAAGAGAGTAACAAACACAAAGGAGGGGAGATAAAGACGATAGATGTCTGATAGGAAAGAAGGAGCAAACCACACTAGAGCACCCGCCAACCACCCACTGTTCTTTTCTATGAATTCAGAACTACACAGTATTAAAATGTCAGAAATACACAGGACCAGAAGACGAGAACATTATAGAGTCAGAACACATCAACTCAGAACAAAACATGATCAAAGCACAAAGCGTCGGAACAACAGGTAATCAAAACACAAGGAGTCAGTACAAGACAGCATGAGAAAAAACAGTTTCAGAAATACTTAAGTTTTCACTGGTGTGTACTTACTCATAACCTTGAGCTCTTCCCAAAGGTCCAGTTTGTTTTGTGGGCTGCACCAGGAAAGGAGAAAAAATTGAGGTAAAAATCAGTTAGGCTGTCCCCCCAAAAAAATCAGACAGAGAAAGGACATAAAAGAGTCATTCATTGAGAAGCACATTGATATGATAAAGGTCACTAAGCAGCCGCGGTAAAGCAAGAAGACAATACAGATATGCATTGAAAAAATTATGATCATTTAGAGATGGGCCGAAAGCAGGAGAAATAAGGAGAAAAACACTTCAGCAAAAAGATAGTCATTCATTGGTGGGCTAAAAACAAGATACAGGAACAACAACTGTTTGTCCAGCTGTATGATGCTGGACTTACAAAAACAATAACAACATTCAGAGTCCTATTCCCAGCAATTGCGAGACAGGATAATATATCCATTGGAAAGGTAATTGACCCTATTTCCTCAGTCAACCCTGCAACAACTGGCTACTTGGTAGTTATTTGAGACAGATCATGGAAATGATAGCGGTATGTACCTAACGGGCTGCAATATTGCATACCTCTCACAAGACTGACACAGTATATAAGGAGGAAATGACGAAGCAAAAAAGTGTTTGTGAAGAAATTTGTGCCTTCAATCAAAGATATGTGACCATCAATAATAACTTACAATAGCGTTCTTATATAACCTTATACAGTTGTGAGCACTGTTAAACTTTATACAAACTAAACAAAACACTTATAATAGAAACACTAGACAGAGAGCTATGACTGTCTTTACTTTCTGTGAGCCAAAGCTTTTGACTGGCTTTGCTTTCCGTGAGCCTTAGCGCTCTATAACAAAAATGTCTTAAGGAGCAGAACACTTGCACTGATACCAAATCCAACGCTTTGAAGCCATCATGAGAACTCATTGGTAGACTCAAGGGCAAAAAAAAAATTTTTAATCTCATCAAGCAAAGAGACAGTTAAGTACGAGTTTTACAGAACTTGCAACACAAATGTCACATAAGTGCTCAAGATTAGAGGTATTATTAGAGAGTAACAGGCAAAGAAAAGGAGGAGACATAAGGAAGATAGAAGTTTGATAGCAAAGAAGGAGCAAACCACACCAGAGCGCCCACCAACCACCCACAGAGGTACAGTGATCAAACCCCTGTGCCATAAAACTAAGAAAGATATGAAAACTGCAGAAGCTAAATAAAACACACATTGTTTCAGTATATAACCTACACTCCCAAACAAAACTGGGAGCACAATTATCAGTCTTCTGTTAAAAGTAAACATTAAATAAAAACCTAGAAACAACAGTACAGCAGCCATACAAAGAAAGTGACACCCTTACTTTGATTTCAACATCTCCTTGATGCTCTCTGTGTCCAAGGTTTTTGTTAGTATTTCTCTCACATTCGAGACCATCGCCAGTACTGAGGAAAAGTACAGTCTCGTTATACATAAAAGGAAACCTTTTAAAAAACACTCAATACTTGCAATCTTTCAACAAATTCTTGCCAATGATCTGATGGCCTTATTATAGAAAACTACGAAACTTGCAGCCAGCTTTGTTAAGTAAGTTACTCAATTTAAAGATTTCAGAATTGACATTATTTTAAACAAAGAGAAATACTTTTGTAGTTTTTATCATGTCTCCACAGCATTTTTAATGAATGACATAAGATTGATGCTATTCATTTCTCATTCGCCCAAACAAAAAACTGTTACGAGATCATAACACTGCCAATTAGGCAAGGCCAAGTTCAGCTAGTCATTCAGGACCTGACATCCAGATCTCCCATCCATGGGAAAGAGGAACTGACATCCGATTCTCCTAGTAGCGGGAGCCCATCACATCATTTTCAAAGCTTAACTCTGCCAAAAGCACCTCCCCAAGAAAAGAGATACAGATTTGTGAAAACTGCTAGAATCTGAAGCGAGCTGGAAACAACGTAAAATAGAGATTCATGAAAAAAACAAAATTTAGTCATTTCATGTTTGATTTGAAAGCAAATTTTCTAAAAGGGGTGAGAAAGAGATTATCCCATTACACAACAATGTAGAGACATACCTGTCATGTTGCACGTTCTCTGATTGCTGTCAAAGTGATGCTGGCGCCTGAAGAAAAGGGGAAAATAGAATACATCAGTTAAGAATTGTTTTCAACAATAACTTAACATTACATTAAATATGATGAGTAAAATAGACATTATGGAGCACATTCATCCCAATACATCACAGCACTCCAAAGCTTCCAGAAAGAGCAACAAAACTAAAAGGAATGATTTTACAAATCTCCAATAAAATTATTTCTTTGCAAACACAAAAATTGTTGAAATAAATCCCTGAGGGGTCTTGTAATTATTCAATAACTGTAATGGAAAGTTAACAGAACAACGTACGATCCTTTGTTTGAGATATGATGGGACTACATTGGACCGAAAACTAATTTAAAAAAACAACAACAGAAAGAGTAACTTTTGTATGAACTAAAGATCCTCGCAAAAATTAAGGACATAAAAGGACTGCTGAGTGCAAGTAAAATTTAATCAGAAAATACATAGGGCCTACTTTTCCTGGTTCAATGGACGTAAAACCACAAAATCAGTGGCCATTTCAAAATGTTTCTTACCTGACAAGAATTAAGTATTGTTTGTCCTCTTCATCTCGGATCTCTTGTATCTTCTTCCAGATGTATTTATACAAAAGCCAGCTCCCTAAAAGACACAAAAAAGGTATAAATAGTATTTTGATATCACTATGACCATTCAGGCACAAACTGGTCACAATTTCATTATCACACAAAAAGTACACGCCCTTATCCATAGTTTTCATTACATTGAATACTTTAGTTCAAAAGTTTAAAAAGAGCAGTAAAGTATACCATTTTCAACAGCCACCCAGACTCTTTTGCATTAAACCCGGAAAGACAGTAAAAATCTTCCGCTGAAAACAAAAAAGCCCCCAGAGAACTTAAGGTCATCATTACATTTCCCTTTATTTATATCTAACACTGCTGCATGGCACACACTTAGCACAGCATGGCACCTCAAACAATTCTGCATCACTTACTATGTAATGTAATGATGACCTTAAGTTCTCTGGGGGCTTTTTTGTTTTCAGCGGAAGATTTTAACAAAAGTTTTAGAGATCAACCTACTTCAATAAATCTGAGAACATGTCAGATCTATAGTAACAACAAACTTCTTTTAAAGTAAATTTTGAGTCGAGAGCCTCCACTTGTCGACGACCAGTTAATTTTCTGTATGTTACGTTCTGTGAGGTTGCATCTGATTTTATTAATTTAATAGACTGCATGTTTCATTCTGTGGTGTCGCGGCTGCTTTTAAGCTGCCATAATAATTGCAAATCATTTTAACTCCTTAACAAATGAGCTCTACTTTTTATTTTCATTCTGCTTTCTGAAAATGTACAGTTTATAATATATGGCTTTTAATTGTGGCTTGCATGTTCTCAAGAATTTACCAACATAATAATATGATCTTCTTCTTCTTTTTCTTCTTCTTCTTGTTTATCTTTCTGTTCTTAAGAATTTACCAACATAATAATATGGTCTTCTTCTCCTTCTTCTTTTTCTTCTTCTTCTTGTTTATCTTTGAAAGGACATCCCCCCGTCTCTAGTGCGAAAGCTGGTGTTCGCAGCAGGTCCTTCAGGCCTCCATTGAGTTTTAGGTCTCTCTGCCTAGGGTTGGGCCAGTAATTCTTTCTAAGTGTATCAAGCACTGGGCAAGCTTGCAGCAGATGGTTCCCTGTTTGGTTGCCGGTTCTGCACTGACACTACTCTGAATTTCCGATCTTGAACTTCCTGTAGAGGTGGAGTTTCAGCTGTTCTAAGTCTGAGCAGAACAACCTGCTCTTGACAGGTGAGGAAGTAATAGGGGTCAATTTGGTTGTAGTGAGGGTACTGTTCCTTCCACTTTGCTTGTAACCCCCATTTGATGATGCTTTTGGCCTCCAAAAGGCTTGTCCTTTTTTCAGGTTGCTCTGATCGAGAGCCTTCTTTTGCTAAAGAATCAGGCTCAGCAGTTTCATTTTCAAACAAGTTACAGTGGTATCCACTGTAGTAACAGTGGTATCCACTGTAGTAACAGTGGTATCCACTGTAGTACAACTGTGTGGTTTTTGCAGAGGTTTTGTTATTTAGCTCACTGTCTCAGTGATTTAATGGCTTGTGAAATGGAAAGGACGTTTATGAGGAGGACCACATTGCGGGAGGAGCATGGGTCAGATCTGATTTTAGTGGCTGCAGTTTTCAGAGCAACTATTTCAGCTTTGTAGTTAGTAATCATTCTCAACTGCATCCTCAGCCGATCCGTAATGTGTAGAATCATGTCCATAGCTGCTTAGGATAGCACTTGTCAAGGTGTTCCCATGCAAGAGCTCTTCATTCTAGGCAAGTCTGTGAGTTGTACTGAAGCCAAGGATGCTGTTGTGTATGTGAAGAGATGTTTGATATAGCACAGCGGTACACGAAGGGATCTCTTCAGGGATTTGTTTCCCGTTATATGGTTAAATCACACATAAATTTCACTGATACAACAGGTTATTTGTTACTGACACTTGGACAATTAAAATCCACCACTTCTCATGGAAAAAGATATATAAGTCACGACGCAGTGGAATCAAGCGCTCGTCAATTTTGGGCCATATATGGAGTTATTGGTATCATCTTAAAGCCTGTCCATTTGCCGTGCTTTTGATGAAAAAAAAATATATATATAATATCTCAGATGCATGTCAAGATATTGGCGATTGAAGGAGGTAGGGGCTTCCTGGTTTCAGAGGTAAGATTAGCGAGAAAATGATAGCCAAAGTTGAGCTATTTTAGCTTGAGAGTCTGTGGAAACTGAAAATTTACATCTTTTATGCCTTTAATCAACGTTTTTCAGGAAAATCCACACAGAAATGAGTTCTTTCAAGGGCATGAAAGATGAGCCAAAAGACAAAAATTCTATAAAAATTCCCAAACCTGCGGAAAAATGTCAGTCTCCTGACTTTCATTTTGACGAGCGTCTGATTTCACCACGCTGCCTCACATAAAATATAATTTTCTATTGAAAACATAATGCATAAAAATGGAAAGGAAATAAGTTGGTCAAGCTGCACAAGTAGACTTTTATCAATGTGTGTGCATCATTAAAACTCTTCATAGAAAGAAAAGAACAAAAAATACCAACGTAATAGTTGGTCAAATACAGAAAAAAATTCTTTATAATCCTCTGTTAAGCCAATGTGCAATAAAACATTGAAAATTAATCCCTTCCATTGACAGGACTTTGTTGGTTTTTTAAAAATATTAATGATGTCATAGAGCTATAAAAAAAACTTCTATAACAGTCTGTTCATAAATATAACGAACGTGCGTCAAAGTTTCATCATCGGCACATTGGGACTTTCACCTGCATTGTTAAATGCTTAACGGCACTATGCATTGCAAGGAGTTCCTGATCGAATGTGGAGCAGCAGGTTTGAGTGGGGGACAATTTCCTGGAGTAAAAAGCAATTGGTTTCCACAACCTATGCAACTGTTGAGACAGTTCGGCTCCTATCGCCGAGTTTGACGCATCAAATGAAAGTTTTGTAGGGGCATCATTTTTCGGGTGATGGAGCATGACTGCGTTGGCTATCAGTTATTTGATGCTTTGAAATGCAGATTGACAGTCTGACGAGCAAATTATCTGTTTTTAGACTTTCCTTTAAGCGCCTCTGTCAGGGGTATGAGCCGGTTTGCGAGTCGCGGCATAAACCAGTGATAGAAATTCATGATTCCCAAGAAACGTTCCTGTGATTTTTTGTCAGTGAGTGTTAGAAAGTCTTTAATAGCACGTACTTTTTCTGAAAGTGGCTGGATGCCTTTGGTGGAGATGAGAGATGTAGATTTAGTAGGCCCTTTATCTTCATCAGAAAACTGTGTTTACCTACTTACGAATGTAAGCAGGTTTACCCTGTGGCCAGAAGCAATTCCCCTTCCCAATACTGAAATGGTTACTTGTGTAAAGGGCCTTGCTGTGCTCATGGATCTCTCGTTTTCGGGTACCTGACTCGATCACTTCTGACCGAGTCCCCAATTCACAAGCAAATTATGACGTCAACTGAACAGAGTCTTGGGTGTGATTCCCCAAAACACCACCGCACCATCTGCAATCCAACGGAATCGTTGAAAGGTTTTATCGCAGCCTTAAAGCCACCCTTAAGGCTCGCCTGACCGGTCCGTGTTGGATGGATGAGTTGCCGATTGTCCTCCTCGGTATCTGTACTACCTGGAATGAAGACCTTGACACCGCGCCAGTTCTGTATACTCATGGAACTAATCTTCGAGTCCCTGGTGACTTTCTATTTCCTCCTTATGTAGATAAAATGGTTCCTGATACTATTTTTCTGCAGAACTCTTAGGACTGTTTGAGAAAATTATCAACTCCAATGCCTCTATGCACCACAGAACGACCAGTTCCTACGTACCACAAGACCTACGTGTACACAGTGTTCAGCAGGTCTAGGTACAGCACGATGCACACAGGGGGCCTATGATCAGACCTTATGATGGACTTTTCCCTGAACACTGTGAACAAGACTGACAAAATACTTTGAAGAAAATTGTCAAAGACGGTAAAACAATTCGAGTCTCAATTGGCAGACTGAAAGCAGTATATATTCGCAACCAGCCGGTCTCCAGCCAGTTTCAAACGGACAACAATTAGATCCACGTCTGATGCCACATCACAATGTGTTGTCCATCAGTGACGATCAGATAGTTGATGATGTTCAGCAGAGGGGTACTAATATATGCTCTGACATTTTGAAACTCCGTCCGGCAGGGTGATAGTGAAACCTACGAGATATATAGGAATTAACCAACAGTGTCTGACTTTAAACTCTCAACACCACAACTTAACTAGTTTTTTATTGGATATTATCAATTCATTTTTGAAATGTTCCCGTCTATATTATATCTTCATATTATTGTCGTCCTACTAACTTGTGTACCGGCGGTCTTTCGGGATAAAAATAGACTTGTCTAACATTTGTCACTTTGTGTCCAACTTGTGAAACAGAGGTCTTCCGGGATATAAAAATAGAGACCTGTCCAACAAGTGTCACTTTGTGCCTTTAATACTATTTAGTTACATGAATCTGTTATAATGTGTGCACATTTTATTTCTCTGTCATCACATACTATACTTTTATACTATATATAGTATGCGTTCTTGTGGGGGAATCATGCAGTCGTTCACCGGCACATGATGCTTGCTCACGCTTCATTTTGAGTTCATACATTTTAACCGTGTAGGCTCTATATGTTTGGTTGTTTTTAGTGTTTCGCTTGCTGGTATAGTGCGCTTCAGGCTAGGTCTACAGTACACCATGTTCGACGATAAATCTGTGTGATGTGTGTAGGTATAATGTGTAATAAACGACTTCAACCTACCTTGTATCACAGCCTTTCTGGAGATCTTACAATTTACAGTTTAAAAATAATACAAACAACGTAGCATGAATAAAGAGAGCAACACATCTCTCTCATGATGCAACACTACAGGGCTAAAAAAAAGGGGGGGGGGGAGGAATAAAGAGCTCTGTGTAGGCAATTGACTCTCGACGTACACTGACTGGACCTCTGATCAAACTAACATGCGTGGGAGCTGAAATGCAGGCCAAATAAATCTGTGAATCATGATGGCATGGAATTAGACATCCTAAATCTCTGAAAGTAAGTACCCATAAATACAGACACTGTAACTCATCACAAAGATTTTGGAGGGAGTTCTGCAGACGGACGGCTGACCAACAACACACCCTAACCAGGCTAATACAGGGTGCCCACTGGGGGATCGGGTCTTGTCGGGGCGGTTTGCTAGCCAGATTGAGGGCGTAAAGCAACTGTTGCAGAAGCTGGCACCCAACTCGGCGACTCAAAAACGTTTGTTTTAAGGCAATGGTTGAGGCGACCCCCTCCCCCCCCCGCCCTCTCTCTCTCTCTCTCTCCTTCCTTCCTTCCTTCGTTCTTTTATTGTGACATCTTACATCTTTCTTTTTTCTTTTCTGTAACCCCGCCCTCCAGACCCCATCCACAATGGGCACCCTGTCTGAATTACCCTGCCAATATTTAAACCTTCGAAGTGACTATTCGGACTCGAGTCCGAATACGAAAAAATGTTATTCGGACTCTGATTCTTGTCCAGCATGACATCACTTCCGACTTCC